GATAAACTCCCACCACTTACTCTGATTCAAACACATTACCCTGTATTGTGGTCTATGCACCTGTTCCATTCTTGCACTGATCATCACCTGCACTCATGTATATATCAATCTGCTTAGCTCTTTTTATTTTTAAGTGTTTGTCTTATCGTATGTCTTGCACAAAGTACAGCAGCAATTTCCTGATGTTGTAAATCTGCTCAACATTTGGCAATAAAACCCTTTCTGATTCTGATTTATACTGTAAGATGAGGACTCTACAGTAATACAAAGAAACCCAAAGAATCAGATGATGCCTATTAACAAACACTTGGTCACAATGGAAAGGAAAAACTCAGTTTTAACAGGAAGAACCTTCAGCAGAACTAGTGCTCAGGGAGGGGTGGCCATCTGTCGCCAGATGTTCACTCTCACTTCACTTCCACATATAGAAGGAAGATGTTTGTTTGCATGATTATTTAGTGCAAACATGTATTCTGTCAGATATCTCAGACTTTTATCTGAGTTAGTGCTCAGCTCAGATAAAATAATTATTGTTGGTAATTTTTACATCCATGTAGATGAGAGTCCCCTTCTGCTTTTGGATCATCTCTCCTCATCTCATTTCCTTGATTTCTTTGCTCATGTAATGGGTGCATAAAAAAGATTTTATCATTATTTTTCATGAATATTTATATGTTTATTTTGTGTATTTGTATTTTTGTGAACTTTTATTTTGTTTGTGTGACCTTTGACTTCCCATGTGTGTCACTTCCTACTCTCCTCGGTCAGCCGAGGCCTCACTGGGTAGAGGTGAGTTTCTGTTTCTGTTCCAGTTTACAGAACAGTTGCATGCAGTAAAGGTGCTAAAAAAAGGTTCAAACCCAGTTGGTTATATTTTTATAATATTGTTGGATGTTTTTAGTCTAAACTGTTTTTCTGTAGAGTGCAGCGCTTTATTGTAATATGCTAATTTGCTGAATTTACGCTAGGTTAAGAGAACATGCAGGTGGTTTCTCATGCGGCCTCCTACTTTTCCCTCTTATAAAGGTGTGCACGTAGAAAATTTAAATGGCAGCATTAAAAAAAAGATCAAATAGAAGAAAGTCTATTAATGTTAATGTTTTTATTCATCAGAGCACAAATAAAAAACACAAGTTCACCTAAAGTCTCCAAAAACTCAAAACCTGATAAAAATGAACACTGAGCAAAACTCAAACGTCTCATTTTGTGCCGATGAACTCTGCCGTGACCACTAGAGGGCGCCATCGCCGTATAACTGAGTGGACGCTGCGACTGTGGTCAGCTACGTTTAAGTGGTGTTACATGGAGAAAAAGCAAGTGAAGCGCAACAGAAGCCAGTTACAATCAGATTGACAGACTTTAAACTGACACACCAACACTCTGTTTGTCCCCCTTCATTACATCCACGAACCTCCTTTCGGGCCCTCTTTTCCTCCTGTCTGGCAGCTCGAGTCTCAATTATACCTTTGAAACCATGAGAATAAAATCAAAGTGTGAATGAGAGTTCCCGATAATCAGATTCTATAGAAAACATGGAGACTGTAGAGTATTTACACTGAATATGTTCATTTGTTCCCTTCAATAAAAATCAATCAGTTCATCAAATAAAATCAGTCGTTGATCGACTCAGTTTGATTGACAGGACAGATGATCAGAGGTGCAGAGTTTTTACCACCATCTTTGTTACAGGGACAGAAGAATGGGTGGAGTTTGTGAATGAAGGAGCAGCCAGTAAAGGAGTGGATAAGACCTGCAGCACCTACATCATAAAAGGAGACCAGACCCTCCTCATAATCCACGAACACCCCCACCATCTCAGGACCAGACTGAAGACAGTGGGATTTTTCCCTTCCTGTTGATCGACTCTCTGGCCACTCCTAAAGTCCAGTCAGTCTTTCCTTTAACCTGAACCTCAAAGTAAAATCTGCCTGAAGAGAAACTCTGCTTTCCTAAAACATTAACACAGTAAGAAATTCTCTGTGTTGTCAGGAAGTTTCTTCT